TTATTTTTTTTTGTTTTTGTTTTATTCATTTATGTATTTTCCATTATCATATAAATCGTAAACTATTTTCTTACCTAATCTCACTTACACATCACTCGACTGGGTTAAATTTTTCTCACTCTGTACAATAAATAAATTATGTGAACGCGGAATAATATATCGACGCTTTAAAATCTCTCTTAGAAAATATTTCCTAAAAAAAAAATACACAAGAGGCAATGTATTTTTGTGATATCCGGAGTATAATATGACATCATACCCTACAACATATATACCCTACAACAAAGATATCGGATATTCTGTGCTTTATGTATTTTTTAGGGATGCATGACGGAAAAAAAGTCAATATAAAAAAATAAATAAATGCATCACAGTAACGAAAGACGCAAGAAATATTCATGTATATATTTATTTTTTGGGTGATAAGAGTTATTGTTAACTTAAAAGTACGTCATTATATACACTCGCAAAAAAAAATTAAATAAATAAAGGGGGGGAAAAACATGATGAAGATAAAAAGACAAACAAATAACATAAAAAACAAGAAAACTAAATTCAAAAAAAGCTTTAAAAAATCATGACAAAAAAAACAAAAAAACAATAATGATAAACATCCAACCACCAAAACAAAGGCACAGACTAAAGTGGAATGTCGCCATATGTCTTTCGCCGTCAAAAAAGAAAAAAAAAATTACGTCTCTCTTCTCGGCTGATTACTTGAGCTGGTTGCCGAGTTTCGCCGTCTTGAAATCGGACCGGAGTTGGATGAAGCTGGCGAGCACTGTGCGATCCAAACCACTCTGGAAAAGGAGGAGGAAATCGTACAACAATAACATCAGTAACAACAAAAAACAATAATGATATTGATGGTAAGGATAAGGATGGTAGTGGCAATGGGTATGGTGATGAGAACAATAATAATAATTACAGCAGCAGTAATAATAATAACAACAATAATAATAAAGACAATAACAATAAAGATGATAATAATAATAATAACAATAACAATAATAATAATAATATTAATAAAAACAAAAACAATAATCATGATAACAATAATAATAATAATCATAATCATAATCACAACAATACTAACAACAGTAATAATTATAATAATGAACTGCATGGCTCTACCAAATCCACCAATAACAACAGTAACAAGATGCCAGCTGATCTTACCAGCTGATCTCCCGAGCACACCATCTTCAAATTCTCGGGCGACACCTGGAGGAGCTTGCATAGGGTGTGGAGTGTGTCGAACAGGGAGTTCACCAGAGGGATTTTGAAGCTCGCGACACACTTTCTGTACTCATTGACGTCGCAGATGACGGCCATGGCACCTGTGGGCAGGGGAAGACGGATTAGGGTTCGGGGGAGGGGGGGGAGTAAAAAGGATCAAACACCGTTGGATGTTTTATTTCCGAAATAAAACCAAGGGACCAATAAAGAGATCGACATGAAACTGGGATAATCAAATAAAATCCATAATGATGAAATGTCACAGGGTTCAATGAATGCATATTGAAAAAAAAAAATCTAATCAAATATAGCATGAGGAAACAAAGGTAAATATACAAGACAAAGAAATGAAATACAATTAAATGAACAGCGCGGTAAATCACGTTGAACACATAGACAATAACCACTAACAGGTAGTTACTTAAAAGAAGTGAAATACAATGAAGAATAATCATCTGAGGCTAATTCCCTTGTAATTTGATGCTGATATTAACAAAAATGTTAATAAATAAATAAACAAATAAAATTATGACAACAGTCAAACTTTCAATTGGAAATTATGATACAGATTTTATAATGTTTTCAGTATGATTTTTTTTCCTCTGAACTTCATATTTACTAAACAGGAAATATATATATATATACATGCTGATACGGAATACGGAACCTCCAATAATAATAAGGAAGCCAAAACAAGTTAAGGCTGAAAGAAGTGCATATCTGATTAGATTTGGCTGATGCTCACTGGATCATAGTTAAGAATAGTAATATAACGTACAATAATTACAAATAAACACAATAACTATAACATTAATAATAATAATAGCAAAAAATATAACTAATAATAGAAATAACTATAATAACTAATAACAAATAATCATAGTAACTATAATACTAGTAATAATAATGATTTTATTAATAAAACAATAACATCCATATCAGTGATAGAGAAACCACTATACCTGTGGCACTATATTCAAACTTCATCAGATGGTCGAGGATGGTGCGGTGGAGCCTCAAACCGAGCTCAAGCAACGCACTCTCCACGTTGTGTCCATCTAACGTGTCCCTCACGCGCTCTGCCACCACACTAATCCACCTGACGACACGTTGGCAAGCCTGGGAATGGAGGTTGCAGGTGTGATAATCAATGTATAACTGATACATTAAGAGGTAAATTGTTCAGGAGGAGATTATAATAAGAACTTAAATAGATCAATTATAGCTGGATTTTATATTAAGGAAAAAAGAGAGTTATCCA